CATTATTATTCCTACTTCCTTTTGAACGACGATCCCCGGAATTTCTGGGGATCGAAGTTCAAAATCCCCGGAATTCCGGGGTTTCCCCAGAGCACAAACACCCCTGCAGAATAATACTAAATTGCCGGACTTCCATGTATCTGGAAAATAGCCTTTGTTTAGGCAAAGATTGAGCGTCTTGACAAATTTCCTGTCTGCTAGAAAGAGTTCTGTAATTTCTATTGAGAGCCCATCCTTCCCTGGGGCTTTCCCTCTTTTTGTGGATCTTATTATACCCTCTATTTCTTCTTCTGTGAATTGTAGGTCATCTTCTGTGATGAACTTTCTCTCTTATTTGTCTGTGGAACCTCGTGTCCTCTTCTTCCCTATCCTCGGGAAAATGAAATCTTACAATTGCTTTGATTGTGTCTGATGTATTTAATGTCTACTGCCCTTGTTCATCTTTAATCCTACATAGTTTAAGAGGGGAGTAGGCTTTTCCCTTGGCCAGATTAAAGTACTTGCTGAAAGGGGAGGTTAGCTTTAGGCTTTCCCAATATGTGTCCCATTACTTTAACTTTTCTACTTGAATCTGCCTTTTATAAGTAGTGGCAACCTTCTTGTATTCCTGCCTTTTTAGTTTGCGATTGGGGCCTCTAGCTCTCTGGAAAATTTTCCTGAATCTTCGAACTTTTTTCCTAAGTTCTGTGAGGTGGGGCGACTACCATGTTTTTGTGTCCCCTCTGGTGTTCTGTTTATCACTTCTAATTGAATATTTAAGATTTTGTTTATAAGCATCCTTAATTTTGTCCGAGATTAATTGGATTTGTTGATTCAATGTTTTTTGCATCCTGCATCTTACTATAGATTTTTGAGATGTCTCTCTTTAATAAAAGCCAGTTTGTGTGCTTTATTTTAATTCTCTGTGTTAGCCCTGTTGCCGAGAATTTATTCTGGACTTGAAAGTTGACCGCCTGATGGTCACTCAAAGTTTCTCTTTGATCTACCGCCAATTGATCTATGAATAGGCTATTCTTTTGTTTAATTAGGTTTATATCAATCCATGAATTACCCCTTGGCCCTGAAAATGTTAGGGGTGGCTGTCTGCTTCGTTCATAACTGTAAGGCCTGTTGCGGCAATGAAGTCTCCTAGTCTCTGTCCTCTGGCGTCTGTGGGGCTTGGGCCCCAAAGAGTGTTTTTGGCATTGAAGTCTCCACAGACAATTGTGGAGATCTGAGCTGTCTGTATGTGGTCTTCTAATCTGGACAGAATCGGATCCAGATCATCGTGTGGTGGACAGTACACTGAGATTAAATTAAAAGGCGTGTCGCCGTCTATTTTTAACACTACGATTTCTGTTGTGTGGAATTTCTAGTACATTGGTATTTGGATGGATCTATCACCATGAATCGCACTTTTTGCTCCTTCCGGGTGATTATAGAGTCTCTCTGGGGGAAGCCACAAAGTTTATTCTTTATTAGAAAAGGCTCCTGAATGCAAGCTATTAAGTAGCTGCTTTTATTCTCTAAGTCCCTTCTAAGTTGTTGGCTCGCACCCCTTGAGTGCTGTATATTAACTTGTGTGATCTGAAACTTATCCATAGTTAATTTTCTTCCTTATTATTTCTAGTTCTCTTATTTTACTTGGACATTGATTATCCTTCCCATTATGTTTATGATCTAGGTTTAATCCAAAGTCTTGATTGGCCTTTTTGCAATTTTTACACCTATCTTTTTTAGATTTACAGTCTTTAAGTGTCCTGTCTTGCCACATTTTTGGCAGCATTGTTCTTCCCTACAGAACTTTTTGGTATGCCCGAAGCCTAAGCAGTTTTGACATTGCGTGACCTGAATGTATTCTCTTACATTTTTTCTGGTCCAAAATAAATTTATCTTTTTAGTTTTCATTAATATTTTGAAAGTGGTTGGGTCGACTGAGCACACCCAATGTTTACCAAAAGCATCCATTCATATTGAACTTAACTTCTAACTCTGCCGATTGGATATTGGGATTTTGAGTTAAGATTTTTTCTTTTAGAGTTTCCGCATCTATCTTTTCTTTTATATTGTATATTATTATTCTAGGATTAAACGTTAAAGGCCTTTGAGGCTCTACTAAGTCTTAGTTTTTGATTCTCTCTTATCGCGTCTTCTAGCTCTTTTAAGTCATCCTCTTTAACTGTCTTAATAAGCACTCCACCTTTACGTATATTTTTCACACTTTTGACTCCTATTTTGAGATCATTCAGATTTATGTTTTTAACTAATTATTCTTTAACATCCTGTGAGGATGCGCCCTCGTCCTTTGGAAACACTAAAAGTTTATGTTCTTTTCTCCTAATGGATCTGGATCTGGATCTTTGTCTTTGTTTTAGCCCGTTAGCTTTATCTGCGAATGTCTCTTGTGGTTGATTAGTAGACACTACTCCCTGAATGTAATCCTCTATATTCTGCGTATTCTCTAAGTTGTCCTTCCAAGTACGCTATTCTTAAGTTTTGCTTTTGTCATTATCATTAACAGACTCGTAAATTGGTCTTTGATAGTCTTTCCTAACTTTTTAGAGATTTTTTCATTATTTAATATGCCAATCTAAGGTTATTTAGACACTCATGTGCCTCTTCTATAAATTGTTCTGCATTGGCACTTTCTAATCTTTGTACACTATTACAGTTTTTGCACTTTTAATGCTTTCACTTTCTTCATCTGTATGACTACACTGTCTTTGAGTCTCATCCGGGTCCCTTCGATCCCCGGAGCCTTCTGGCCTCTCAGAATGGTGTTCACTTGGAGCGGTCATAGTGCTTTGTATTTGTTAGACACACTATGAGCGTGTGGGGGATGTTTGCCCTACTCGGAAACCACCACAGGCACCATAAGGAGCGCGACAAGTGCGGTGGGTGCTCTTCGCAGTGACCGGTACCCTGGGGTTCTCACTGATCACCACTACTAAGCTGTGGAATTAGTTGGACCCTCTTGCAAGGAAGCCCCCAGACCACGGCAAGGTCAATTCCACTGGAAAGCAATTTTTGCAAATAGATCACCCGTTGACGACTTTTAAACTCAGATAGTACTGGACGGCACCCGACGTTCTTTCTGATATGCGTCAAAGATTTCAACGTTTCCATTTCAATCAAAACTACAATAATCACTTCCTCCTGGGGGGAGAAGACGGTAAATCGTTTGACCCCCTTTATGGGTCCAAGAGTTAGAATATGGTCGATCCGTACACGTGTTTGTCAAGAGCTTATATGAAGAGTTATGTGGTCATGTTATAATTGCATTTGCAAAATAAATTAGTTATAGTGTGACAGATATGTTTTCTTTCTGTAACATTAGTTTTCATTTGCTATGTATTTGAAAACAGTTCAAAATTGAACATCTAGGTTGAAATATTCGGATGGTAGACAGATAGATTACATGTGTTCGACGAAGCGTTTATATAACCTGCCATGAACTACTAGGTTTGTTAGCAATAGGTTGTGTATGTCCAGAATTATTGTAATGATTCAAGAGGTGGTTTTGAGAATTTTTTTAATGATGCGCATGAACTTCGTTATCTATGTCCAACATTATCAAGACAATTTGAGAGATAGTTTCAAGAATTTTAAATGATGCTCAATAACTTCATAACTTATGTCCAAAATTATCAGGATGATTTGAGAGATAGTTTTAAGGTTTGGCTTGGTTTATTAGATTACGGCACAGCACTTGAGGGCTATCTGCCTTAAGGGAGGGATGCCTTCGTGGAGGACTTTTTAAGGGAAACTGGCTCGTATACATGTTACACATGGGGAAACCCACGAAAACACCCATGCAGCCAGCCCGTTCGCGGGATTCAAACCTCGAACCGAACTACCAGTGTTCAGGAATGTTACCGCTCGGCTGCTGGTGGGCTGGAGATAATTAGATAGTTTTAAGAATTTTCAGTGATGCTCCTGAACTTCATTATGTATGTCCAAAATTATTAAAATGATGCAAGAGATAGTTTCCAGAATTTTCAGTGATGTACAGTGTACTGATTACTAAAAGGTTCTGGCAGATTCTATTAAATGTCACGCTGAAATACTGTATCAGTTAGGGCCCTCATGAGAGATACTGATTATTCAAATACCACTGAAATTGTAATCCCTTTTTTTTTTTTTTTTTTTTTTTTTTTTTTTTTTTTTTTTTTTTTTGTGAATTCTTTTATACTACACATTAGTAAAAGTAGTTATTGTAAATTTTTGGAAAAAAATATTTAATGATTTCTTAGGTTAGGATTCGAAGATTCAAATGATCTCTCTATGTTGGTCCTTATGTTAATTGCGTGGAGAAACAAAATTACGTTTAAAAAATAAGCAAAAGCCTGAAAGGGTTAATAGCTGATTTTTAAATAATCTTTCTTGAATAATCGTTTTTCTGTAATGCGTGCTGATGTGTATCATTTAATTTAAAATTTAAATAATAATAATAATAATAATAATAATGTTTTGCAATTTACTCAAATAACATTTATGTAATTCTAGATCAATGAATGCGCTTCTGATTCATTTTATTTCTACTAAAATAAAACAACAATAATTATAAATGGGGAGGTATAAAGGAAATCAAGAGAAAATATTTGTTTTCTTTATCTGAAGAAAAAATGCCAGTTACAAGAGATACAAATTTTTATTTTCTTGAGACTGAACACGAAACAGTAGATATAAGATGTATTTATCCATATTTATATATAATCATGTTGATCACATATTCATTAGTTTACTTAAAAAATTTCTTTATATTCAAAACCTGACTCATTATTTTTAAAATGATATAAATTTCGACTTCTCAAACGTTCATGAAAATCTATTATGCTATCATCGTCTTCAACTGGAACAATTCATTAAGCATTTTTTTAGAAATATGGGTGTATGTAGTAATTATGTCTGATGTCACTAATTTTCTTCAAATGCTGAAGTGTACTTCAAGTATGTGTTTTTATTATTTTCTTTAAATGGAAAAGGATATTGATTAAAATGTGTTTTTCCTCCTTTTCTAGATAAAACACAGAAGCTTCTGTTCTTAGGAGCATCCAGATTACATTATAATGGAATTATTAATCAGCGTTTATCAGAAAATAATACTTGTTCCTCACAGAATCTTACAGCCTCTGGTTTGAAAAAAGAAGGTACTTTTGTAATATATCACTCTCTTCAAAATATTTTATTTTATTTTTTTAATTTTAAAATACTGATATAGCATGAAATTCAGAAATTTTAATGTTTATTATTAAATTTTATGAAAATGTAGCCTACTTCATCATAACCGGGAAACCTTATCCAAAAGATGATATGGAAATGCCCATATAAACAAAGGAAATACATGTGGTCCTACAAGCAACGATCAAGAGGCATTTTAAAGAAATGAAAGCTGAGCATTACATGATTAATGTTTAAAAAAGATAATTTTGATTAATCAAATGTAGAGAAATTGTTCCATTATATTAGAAAATGAAACTGGAGATTATGAATATAGATTCATCAGAGTAAGATCCAGAACTGAATAAATACTTTAGCTGTGACAGCTCTTAGGAAAAAAACTAAGAAGTATGGAATTGAAATTCTTAATCTCTTAATAGACTTAAAAAAAGTTTATGCTATTTTAATTTAAAAAAAGATTTATTGTAGCTATGAAAGAATTTAACATGGAAGATAAGTCTGTAAAATTTATCTTCATTGCTTAAAGTGAAGAAAATTGATCAGATCCAGATCTTTACAGAACCAATGCAAATAAAGAATGGCATTAGGCATGAACATTTAATAGTATATCTTCTCTTCTTCATAACTTAAAAGGCAGTTTGAAATTCAGTGATTAATAGAAGATGATTAATCTTTACAAACTCTGCAAGTTCTTGCATGTAAAAATGCATTGGTATAATAACCAAAAACATTCATAGATGAAATTTAATTTCTTTAAAACATTAGAACAAAAGGTGGGCAAGATGAACTTCTTTAAATCAAAATAAAACTAAATACAGTACAAAGTCCAATATCCGGAATGATCTAAAATCCGTACCTTAAAGCCACCAACAAAAATTTTTTAGGATTTTTTTTTTAATGCTTTATGCATGAGCATTTGATTTTTTCCCCCATGAGAAAGCATGTGGAGAATCCCGATTCTTAGTTTCACTTTAGTGCTGAATAAAATACCTCGTTATTGAAGAAACGATCATTTTAGCATAAATTTGTTTGATTAATAATTTGGCTCCATAGCTGCATATCTGCTTTTCCAATTAATGATTTTGTAAAGAAATGTGTAGAAGTGGTAATAAGTAAAGATGATGTATCAGAAGTTTTTCATTGTGATGGCAATGTTCCAATCATCAATCAATTAATGGATGGCAAAATCTGTAGTATGGTTCTAGATCCAGAAAATACTGTTACTGATAGTAAAGAAAGTGATGAGAGATTATTGAAAATGAAAAAATTTCGATTGACAATTTAGCCGGAATTCTCCACGTAGCAATTACAAGACTTGAACAGTGGAACTTTGTAACTGAAGAAATTATGTCTGTCTACAGAATTGAAAAGAAATATAAACAGTAGAGTCTGATGCCTATGTAAATTCTTAGAAATTCAAAAAACCTCTTTGTACTCAGCAACAATATTACAGCAAAATATACTAGAGTTTTATGGCTAGTAACATGCTTTTATGGTTTAGAAAATATTTTTCAAACTTAATTAAAAAGAATTTGGAAGAAAGAATAAGACAGAGACGTTATCTTTTACTATGGTTTTAATTGAAGTATGAGCCGAACAGTTGTCTTTAGTTCAGGCAGTTTTTGAATCATCCATTAAGCCAAGCAGTTTCAAATGTTGCCAAGCCTCCTGTATGAAATTATTTTCAAATTGCTCATTCATTAATGTTTGTGTCATCCTTGCTCTTTCATTTGAATTATAGATGACAGGGAAAATCGTTAGTCCTTTTTAAATGCTTGAGGTCATTTATTTTCCTTGATTATGAAAAGTTTGATTTGTGTATTCCTGCAGGATTTGTACGTGCCAGAATTGTAAGTTTTGCTTTGGAATGTTTGATGCTAGTTTGGAATTTTCTGCATAGATTGCCAAGGTATTTTGGGGCATGTGTTACTAGAAAAAATCAGTTTCATCAATGTTATATTTTTCCTCCCTGGAGATAGCTTTTTGCTATTTATGAGTTCGATGAATCCATCTGATAATTCTTTAAATGTTTTGCCTGAAATTTAACTAAATTTAAGTCTCTCATACCATAAGGATTTTTAAATTTAAGTAATCAATGTGTTGATTTTGGCACTCGGTTTTTAACTCCATTTCCTCACAAAATATTTTGCGTCGAGCCATTAGCATAAGACTTGTCACTGAGGCAGCATGCCCTTGCTACGATGCTGTTTTACCCATTCAATCATTACTTTGTCATGATCATCACTTGTATTGTAATGAATGATTTTTCTGGATTAAAAGAAAAATTGCTGGTATTCACTGCAAGTTGAATGTCAAAATTTGCAAAAGATTCCAAATACTCTTTGATCTGCAATTCCAATATTGGCAACTCTTTTTGACATAATTGAAAATTCAAACTTGATAATATAGCTGTAATAATAATAATAGTCTGCCAAAAATGATAAGCTGGATCCAATTAAAAAATTAACAATTTGCTATATTAACTAAATTTGAGTTTATTGAATTCTAATTTTTTTCTCCCTTCCTCGTTGCTATGCTGTTTTAAGAAAACTAATATGAGTCAAATATATCACATATTGTTTAGGTCGGATACAAAAATGCTGACCTCCTACATCCATTCAAAGGCTGAAAGTATAGTCATTAAAAACACCAATACAATTTATCAATCATTGTATTTTCATTGGCCAGGGATTGACTCCTTAGGCAGCAGGTGTTTGAAAGTGACATGGAGGAATCTCTGTTTGTTTGGAGAAAAATTGCTTTTATGGCACAGTAGCTTTTTGTATAGTATTATATTCTGCATTTCTGGACTTTTTAAGAAGAAAATTGCTGGTAGTTCTAAGGTCTGGATTTTAGACTTTCACTGTATTTGAATTTCAAGTTTCAGCAGAAGTAGTAAATATTTTACTTGGCAAAATAAAATGACTCCTGTTAGATTAACAGCCTATGTGTAATTAATGCCAGATTTAGTTCTACCATTTTTCATGACTGTTGGAAACATTTTGTAACCCCTGTATGTTCTTTCTTGCCATAATTATTGTATTTCAATATACAGTACAAAGTCTGAAATCCGGACGTCCAATATCCTGAATGATCTAAAATTCGGACTTCAAAACCATGAACATTTTTCTCTTAGGCTTTAAACATGCCCATTAGATTCCCCCCCTCCGTGCATAATAAAACATCTGGAGAGTTTTCATTTAAAAATTCAGATTCTTAATTTCACTTAAGCACTAAATAAAAATACCTTCGCTATTGGAAGAAAGAAACAATCATTTTAAGCATAAATTCGTGACGATCAGTAATTTGGCTCCATTGCTGCAGTATCTGCTTGGCATACATCTCAAACCGAAACATTCCACATAGATGCATCGTATGATCCCTGCCGCCAACCCGGCAAGTCATTATTTATTATACTTTTGGTTTCATCACCACATGTTTATCAATACATGACAGCTTCAGTAATAACTCATGCTTTGAGTCTAATTTTTTTTATTAGAATTGAATAAAGTAGTATGGTAACATTTTATGTTGACATTACGCTTGGTGATGATTACAGATTTAAGTTAAATGTGCGAAAAATGTTGACGAGAAAAAATTTAACAAAAATTTCTTTCCATATGCTAAAAATAGATTTTGCTGATGATACTTATAGACCCAAAGATTATATTTAAGGCTGTTTGAATTAAGAATAACTGATTTGTTATTCACATAAAGCCAGAACCAGCACCAGGGCTCGCATGGCTGCACCGGGCTGAGAATTTAGGATCCACAGTGACTGCATCAGACAATAAGATATCTAGCACTGGCCCTCAATAAGGCTTAAGTATATGTGTGAATTTATTTATTCAGAACTCTGATAAGCCTTAAGCATGTGCAAGAAATAGACATAAGTATAATAAATAACTAAACTAATACAATTCAGGCTTAATTGTCTCAGTGCGTGATAGAAGCAAGATAAAATTTAACGGAACAACTTGTCGCTAGTTGCCAAACTCATGATGCATAGCCAAATATGTGTAGTGAACGGTAGCTAAATTTGGTGATGATAGCCGCGAATTTTAAAGGTTTTCAGATATCGCAAAACAAAGGTGAAATTTTCCAATCAACGGATTTTGTAAAAAAAAAAAAATGTGGAGAAGCGGTAATAAAGGAAGATGATATAAAAGTTTTTCATTGTGATGACAATGCTTATCAATCATCAGTCAGGTAACGAATGGTGAAATCTGTAATATGGTTATAGGTCCAGAAAACACCCCTACCAATAGTGAAAAAAGTGACAGTATGTTACTGAAGAGTGACAGTGAGAAGTATGTTACTGAAAACGAAAAAATTTCAATTGGCAAGTTAGTCGGAATTCTCGACACAACAGTTACAGGACTTCAACAATATAACTGAACAAGAGATTATGTCTGTCTACAGAATTAAAGAGAAAGTATTAGCTTAAAAAATGAAGCAACTTAAACAACTTACATTGAAAGAACTGTTTAATAAGGTAAACAAATAAATATTAATCTTTTTTTTTTTTTTTTTTTTTTTTTTTTTTTTTTGTAAATTTTGTTACCCTTTAGATCAAAAATACATCATTATTTCATAAATCACATTTTCATACTTATAATTTTATAATTTCTACATGCCATCTTACTAGATTTAAACTGATGATCTAATATCCGGAAAAATCCCAAATGCAGAATCGCCGAAGTTGATGAGTCCGGATTTCAGACTTTGTACTACATAAGTCTTTCCTTTATCTGAACATTCTACGGATCTGTGATAGTGCATACAATTAACACAGTGTATGGCTGCAAAACAGTCCTTGGTAGTGCCACTTTTGGCAATTAAAGCACTATGGCACTTTAAACACAAAAGATCGTGTAGTTGGCAAATTTGATTTAAGTTTTCTGATGGCACCAATTGAATCTCGCATTACTGCATAAGTGCCTTAGTTTGATTTTTGTAAATTATGAAATTTTTTTGTGAATTCTAAATCATGCACACTCAGAGCAGCTGCTATTTCAACTTTATGACAATTAGAGGGAAAATCTCTGAGTAAAACGTTTACTGATTTCTGGTGCTTAGCATTTAATACATAATGCTCAGTTTAGTAACCTAGCAAAGAAGTGCTTAATGCACATTGACCGTCAGATCCTTGGGACTGTATTTTAAGAAACTTGCTGTTGAGGTGGTTAAGAAAATTCACATTTGGTAGTTGTCATTTCAACCATAAGAATTCAGAAAAATATAATATCTCCAGGCTTTACCATAACTGTAGGGATTAAGTTTTGACCTATAATATGTATCTGCTGCTGCTGCCCATCCATCTGGAGAAAACTGGCATTATTAGCATTAAATTATTATAGCTAGCATTAGAATTATTAACACAACTGTCTTACAACATTTACATTAGAATTAATTGCAAAGTTAACAGACAGCATTAACTTTAGAATTAAACATTAGATTTATTAGCATAGACTAGGCCATCCAACTTATTTTTTAAAGCTAAATCATTTTTAAAGTTTTTAATTGCCTTGACTATTTTAGAAGCATTAGTTGGTTTTCTAATTTTAATAACAACATTGTCATTATCAATATCATTATTGCTGCTATTAACTTCCTTCTCGCTTGTACTTAGAGAATTAAATTCAACTCTCTTATCTATATTACTAACAAATAATTTACTAACAAAAATCACTTACCTTTTAATTTTCTAATAATATCCTTATTCTTTTCCATATGCAGGACAAGAATTACAGAAAGTGTCAGAAACAGAGCAATCCCACACACAGAGTAATTTGCCATAAGAACACTTCATATCCAGTAAATGCCTTTCCTGGGATTAGATTTCACATCTTAATGTAGCTATTATTGAATTCAGATCACTAATATCTAGTAAGACAATAACTCATGGACAGTAGCCCAAAGAGATGATGAAGGTTGTGAGTCTTTAAAAGAAAAACATTTTGAAGTGTCTTAGAATATGACAAATAAATGATGCAGGTCAAAGATCTCCGTGTTTGGAACACTATCTGACTTGTGATGAAATAGATAAAATTATAATCTTAAGAATTAAAAGAATAAAATAAATTGGTTAGGTATTAATAAAAGATGATCACTATACAGATGAAATACTAGGGAATTATTTTCTCCCAAACTATCTGACATCTGAATAAGAGATAGATTTAAAACTCGGAGGGATAATATGCCTTGTGAAAAATCTTCTTGGTTGGCTGATTTGGAATGCTGTGGTCTGTAACAGACTTCTAGGAGATGTCAAGGTCCACCTGTAAATGTCATACCATGAAGGAGGAAAAAGAAACACATAGAAATGCAACCAATGGGCAGATAGTAATTTTATAGAAATATATGAATAAATGATGGAAGTGTGATGCATTTTATGAAAACATATAATGCATTTTCAAAGAATCTTTAAATATTTTTTTTTTGTGTTCTGTTTCTTTGATTAACCAAAATACAATAATACCAAACTGAATGCATGGTTAATATTAAAATGTGAATTTCATGTTATAAATTTAATTTCAGGTATTTCATGTCATAAGTATTGCTTATCAAATATAAAGGCCTCATGCTATTTTTGTGAACAGTCAATCTGTTCTGCATGCTCAAGAGTTTGTCAAGTTTGCAAGCACGAATTTTGTCAGTTATGCTCTCTTTTAAAGTAAGTATAATAAAATTTTACATATTTAAAGAGTCCAAAGAGTTGATCAATTTTATAATCATATTTTTGCTTTTCATTGATAATTAAAATAAATCATAGTTAAAAATATTGACTGAAAAGGTAAAAATAAAGAAAGAGAAAATGAGAAGGGGGTAAGTAAAAGTCTATACAGCATTGCATTTTTTAATTTTTGCCTAATTCTGGAGTTTTAAATTTGTCAAATGTTAAATTTATGTTTGATGAAGGATTAAATAGCTAAATGATATTAATCAATTGATATTCACTGTTAATTATATATTAAAAACATTTAACTGAAATTCACACTTAAATGATTTTTAAAAAATTATACAGGAATATTTGAAAATTACTGTAGCTGCTTTTTGCTTTATATTTTATTAATCTGATAACTGTTCATAAAATATTTTTATCTAAATCAGAATATTAAACAGTTTAATGTATTTTAATGTTAACATGTAGAAATTACATGCAATAAATTTTAAAAAGTGCACTGATTTGAATATTAAAAAAATTGGTACCATTCAAGAGAATAAAGTGCAAAATTTTGAAGTGCTGGGTAAGACATACACAACACTCGGCATCATATGTGCATACTTACAGTATGTATGGGAAACAAGTAAAAGTCTGAAAATTTAACTGTTTAATGTTGATATATAATAAACCTAGGTACTCTGATTCATTTAATATTAGCTAAAAGGTTTCTAGTAAATTTATAAAATTAGAAACAAAATCTCATGTGGACACCACATGACTTCCTTGTATAGCCTATTAGACATTTTTTGCTGCACTTTATTTAAACTTATTTCTTCAAATTTTATTAGAGATATATTTTTCATTCAATTAATTGAATTCTCATTTTGCAGCAATGGAAAATTTATAAAAACTCAAAACATCTGCATTAAAAATTGTAAAATACAGGAAAACATTAAATACCACATCAGTTAAAAATAGTTTAAAAATTTTTTTTTTTACAATTAAAATTAAAGTTTCTATGCCAAAGCAAACAATTCACCCAACGTTCAAGAAGAACAAAGTTTTGGTGCACTAAATTAAAGTCAACTTTTGGTCTCACTGGGCAAAAAGATGCTGAAGTTGATGCACCAACTGACTTAATTCGCTGTTCTACTAAGTGTTTCAAATGTAAACAAATGGCGGACTCCTTAGGCTTAGTACCCCTTAAACTTTTAAATTGTCAATAATTCTACAATTATTGCTCGCAGATTAAGGGCATAAAAACCTTAACTGAAACATAAAACAACATAATTCAACCACTTTCAAAGCAAAAAATGCACAATTTACTAACATATAAAAATAACAATACTGAGCTGGGTAAGAGGATGGGTATGTATATATATACAGGGTGATTATAATTAAAGTTTAAGTTTCAAAACGCTATAAAAAAGAACCACTGATGAAATGATGTGAAATTTGAAAGGAATGTTATTGAAGAAGGCGGAAAGCGTATGGCAGAAGAAAAATTTAGTTTCAAAAGTTAGCAACAGATGGCGCTGTAAGCGGCAGAATCACGATGAGAAACGAGAAATGATTCGTAAAACAACGGCTAAGGTGGAAGTTACACAATAAAACGCATTGACAAATTAGAATTGTTGAATAATTTTATTTGCATGACTGTACATATCACATCGAAAGGGACAAATCGGTTTCAAGAGTTTTGCGGCGACATACCGCATAAGAACCATTCATCAAAGAAGTTCGGAACTGTCGCGAGACTGGCGCAAAACATGTTCAGTATGGTGTCCACCGTTGTGTGCAACAAGTTGAAAGCGACAAACAGCATGTTCCACAACGGATCGCAGTGTCTCCGGGGCGATGTTCAGAATGTGTTGCAAAATGCGTGCCTTTAATTCCGCTAAATTTGCAATTGGAGCACGGAACACAACATCCTTCAGATACCCCCACAGCCAGAAATCACACGGAGTAAGATCAGGCGATCGGGATGGCCAGGCTGTAGGGAAATGACGGCTGATAATTCGAGCATTTCCGAAATGGCACCTCAGCAGCTGTTTCACGGGATGTGCAATGTGCGGAGGAGCGCCATCTTGCATAAAAATGATTTCATCCACACATCCATGCTGTTGCAGAGCTGGAATCACGTGGTTGCACAAAAGAGACGCATACCTCTGACCAGTGACGGTTGCGGGAACAGGACCGGAAGCACCCGTCTGCTCGAAAAAATATGGTTGTAGGATGAATGAAAAGCCACACCATACCGTGACCTTTTCAGGATGAAGTGGTACGGGGTGCGTTGCCAGTGGATTTTCTGTTGCCCATATTCGACAATTCTGGGTATTCACGTATCCTGTCAGATGGAAATGGGCTTCATCTGTCCACAAAATTTTCCACGGCCATGTTCATTATCCACTTCCATGCGAGCCAGGAAGGAATTCTAACGCAAACGTCTCCCTAGCTGTCAGGTCAGACGGAAGCAACTCCTGCACATGGCCAATTTTGTACGGATAGCATTGCAGGATGTTTCCATACAATTTTCAGCACCACGTGCTCGTAGGCCTGTCCAATGTTCGGGCAATTCCTCGTGCACTGCACGGTTGCACACTACCGGCCGACCCCTCCTGTAATGCTGTGGCCACTTCTTCAACTACCGTCGAATGCACTCGTTTTCTCCCTCTACCAGATTGCACATCAAACGAACCTGTCATTTTCGAATTTTTGCATCATTTTCTTTAGACCTGCACAACACTCATTGGACCAACGCCTTCTTTTATACCCTTCAGTGTCCTGAATTTTTGCCAGAGCTACTCTTGCACAATCATCATTCTTGTAATACAGCTTTACCAGCAGAGCGCGGTCCTGCAGTGAAACACCCATGGCGAACGTCTGAGACGCGAAATGAGGAACAGCCTGGCACCTGGTGGCTTTATAACACTGAAATTTAACTAGCATTTTAATTTACGTCTTCTTCCGCTTGCAGCGCCATCTGTTGCTAACTTTTGAAACTAAATTTTTTCTTCTGCCATACGCTTTCCACCTTCTTCAATAACATTCCTTTCAAATTTGACGTCATTTTCATGAGTGGTTCTTTTTTTATAGCGGTTTGAAACTTAAACTTTAATCACTCTGTATATATATATAAAATATGTAAAATATAAAATCTAGCTTTCAAATAATAAATGAATGGCTGAACTGGCAGCTGCCATATATGAACACTTGCAAATTAATCCCAAATATAACATTATTGATCCTGATATGGGATGCCATGAGCAAAATAAAGAAATAAATATTGTGTGCCTCTAGCCACCACCATCTAGATTACCACCTCATTGAATTTATTTGGTGGTGATTGTATGAAAAGGCACCAGTGTTTTGAAAATTTGAAATTTATCTGGCAAAATCTATTTTATATTTTTGTTGGTATTTTTGTATTTTATTTATTCTGGATTAAAAAAACAGTCATTTTTTCATGGAGTTTTATGTGTTTTTAGAGCTATTGCCATTTACTTAGATGCCAGTGTTTGTATTTGGTGCGAAGTGGTGCCCCATTCGCAAAAACATTTTTAAAAAAATTAAATGCTTGTTCTAAAGTTTAACAAAAAAGTTTATCTAAAGTTACACTAATCATTGTAGGCATATATAGTTACTGAATATTTCTATTTTTAATATTTAATTGTAGCCACACAGTTAATTAGTATAATAGTAATTAATAGGGGAACTTGGAGGTAAATCTTTGTTTAACATTACAAATGTAATTTTACTGATTATTCTCAAAAGTATTCTTACATTAGTAAATAATTCATAATAATGAAATGTTTTTCTTTATGTAACATATTAGGCCATCTGTAAAGTTCTGTAGTTTTTTATGATGAATATAAATGAAGCAGTTCAAAGATATAAGAAATTTTTATTGAATCACATTAGCACCATTTTCTATTTTCTGACTTTTTGGCCAATCCACAGGTAACTGGAAAATTTCTTTTTAAAAAAGTCATTAGAGTTGTTCATGAAGAAGTTGTTAATATCCTGTTAACAGTCTCTAAAGGCATGAACTCCAAGCCATTTATAAAATTTTGAAATGACTTAAAGAGATGAAATCTGAGCAGGCAAATTCTAGTGAATATGGCAAGTGACATGAAACATTTCAGACATACTCAGTAAATCTTTGTCTGACATTCATTAAAATATGTGTTGATCACTGCCATAATCAAAGACAACAAACCGAAGACTGGTCTATTCTGACTAATTTGCTTTGATTTTTTAATTTTAAAACTTCCATTTGGGAACAGTATTTTTCTGAAATCAGTGCCTGATTTGGTGGCAACAATTCATAATATACAATTCCTTTGTAGTCCCAACCATGCACAAAACACTACTGTATTGGTATGCTTAACTTTTGGTGTTACCAAAGAAGGTTTTTTTTGTCTTATCCCAGGAACCTTTTTCTTGCAGCATTGCTGTATAGCAATTACTTCTCGTTTTCAGCCATGAGCCGTTTCAATAAAGGAAGTTCTTTATTTTTTCATTGAAGCTATATAATTCCCTTCATTATTCGATACTATACAGTTCACAAAGTTATATAGGAGGGTTTTTTTTTTTTTTTTTTTTTTTTTTTGTCATAACTAAAAGCAACCATATTCTCCTCTGTTAAAGTAAGAGGTAACCATACATCTTAGCAACTTACATACCTAGTCTTCTTCAAATGAGCACTGTGCTTTTTGAAATATTTATTCTGTCTTATAATTCCTGAACTGTGTAACTTGATTTTCTGTGATAGCTGCTTTTAATATGTCCTTGTTCACAATCATCATCTTCATGACAGAAATTTCTGCACTTTACCCCTTCACAGCAAGTGTATCATATATGCATGAGTATTTTATCCTCTTACATGATAGCATGCTGCTTAGTGCAACTCATCTTGGAGATGGTATGTTGTTACTGTGGTATGATCTGGCAGGATGGGGTATTTTGTCTTGATAAGCGTAACTGTAAAAAACGCTTCAATATTTTCTGTAATCGTAACTAATAATGATATTATCATAAATACGAGGGCTATCCAGAAAGTAGATTACGTTTTGGAATAAAAAAATAAACAAAGTATAGGAAACAAATTTTATTATATACAGATGAAAGCCACACTCAAATACTACTTTTCTACATAGTCACCATACAAATTAAGGCATTTATCGTAGCGATGTACGAGCTTGGAAATTCCTTCGTCGAAAAATTCGGCCGCCTGCGCCTTCAACCACTTCGTTACCTCTTCTTGCCTTCCATCTTGCACAAAACTTGTGGTAACCAAGCTTTTCGCTGATGATTTCGTGCAACAAACTTCGCGAAATTTGTGGAAAACTCAAAGAAAGTTCCGTTATTGTGAAATTTCGATTTTCACGGACTTTAGCATCGACTTTTTCGAGAAGTTCGGCGGTCACTACGCTGGGTCTCCCACTTCGATCTTCGTCGTGAACATTGGTTTTGGCCATTTTGAAATTTGAAATCTTATGACCCACTGACGCACTCCACCTTCAGTGATAATGTTGTCCCCATACACTTCACGAAGCTGCCGATAGATTTCTATCGGTTTACAGTTTTTTGCAGTCAGAAGCCTTATTACTGAGCGCACCTCGCAGCTCGTGGGATTTTCAATTAACGCAGACATTTCAAACCGTCGCAGTATCTGAACGGAGCACAGCACGAACCTCTCACTAGCACGGCTAGATGCAGACTGAGCTGCGCAACGCTCTGACCCCAAGATGGCCGCGCTAGCCCCGCCCCTAGCGGACACAGACGGAAACGTAATCTACTTCCTGGATGGCCCTCGTATATAATATCAAGACATTCTGAAAAAATTTTAATATAAATCTAAATGCAAAATAAAATATTTGACTCATCTTGATTAAATGTTGTACAAAACTTATCTAAATCTATATCTAAACATATGAAAAAAATAATAAAACATTACAATAATTAATCCTAGGCATCCCATCAGGTGCATCTACAGGAGTAAAATTTGCTGATTTTGAAGGAAATGTATTTTCTGTCATCTTTTGATCACAAAAATTATTAGCTTCTTCAACTATTATGTTCAAAAGATCATCATCGAAAAAATAGTGAAAAATCAGTTTCATTCACATGACTTTGAATTAAATTTACTCCTGCAATACCCGTAAATTCATACGGTTTCAATTACTTAGCAGATCTAATTCATGATGGAGCATCCACTGTTTTGCTGGATTGTAAGCAAAACGAGCTTCTATTTCAATCTCTGACAAAATTTCAGTAACCAAATTGCTATCCTCACTTGCTGTCAGAATAGTCACTCATGGGCTGATTTACCATCTGAGTATACTCTTTTTCCATTAATAACATCTTTCTCTTAGACAAAGCAATAACACTAAGTTGAATATGCCAGTCATCTTGGATTGGATCTTCAACTAGGCAAACACTGCTCTTTGTTGCAGATATGCTTGTCAGTTGCTGATATTAACACATATATCCTGCCTTTTTTTTAACTCTGGACATCAGATCCAAACTTACTTATGACATCAGTAGAATACATTAAAAAAAGTTGTTGATGAATTTCTGCTGGGAATGCTCACTTTATATGCAGAAACCTTATCATATTTCCATGTTTACACATTTTCATCTGTATAGCCATTTTGCAACTAATATTTTTCCTCCTTCTTTTGCATTGCTACAACGCCTGCACCATTTACTATCCGCATTCAAATGCTGTGTGTTTTTACTGCTTTAAAACAGTAAATTTGAATTACAGATTTTTATTATTATTAGAAGATTATTACACCTGCAATCCTCCTGTTCCAATATATTCACACATATATAAAACTGTAAGAGCTTTTTTATCACACTTTTTCAGTTGCCCTCATAGTTTCACGATTTTCTGCAGTTGCATGAAACTATTGCTATCTTAGCTAAATGTTGTTTGTTATGTAATACTGAACAAAGTTTAATAGATAAGTTTCTTAACATAAACTGTAGCAACATTAAATGAAATAATAATAAAGTTTCTTATATGCTTGCACTCAGACCATTGCACTTACAAGCTGTTCTTGCAAACTATTTGAAAAAATGCCACCGCCTAGTGTAGGTCTTGGAAAAAGACATCCACAAAACTTGCACACAGAGCTCTGATAAGTGCTCTGGAAACAGCACTTAACAGAACTGTTTCTAGAAGGGAAGGATGACTATTAATGATATGTTTCTTTTGGAAACCTCTGTGCATAAAGCCTTCATTAAAAGAAACTGTCTTGTTTCTTTCAGTATTTTGTTTCTTTCTTATCTTGTTTCATTGCAAAGGCTTACAATAAGGTATGGAGATATTGTATGTTACATGATCTTCAGGCTAGTGGCTTGTGTAGTTACCCACTCATTTTCATTCAGAAGTTTTTGGAGGCAAGAACTTTTCAAATAAAAATTGGCTGTGATATCAGATGACTTTGAACAAGAAGAGAAGTGCCTCAAAGTTGTGTTCTTAGTTTTAGTTGTTTTCAAAGAGCTTCATCCTACCATTTCATAATTACTGTATGTTCTGACCTGTAAATAAGTTGTCAAGGAAACAGATGTAAGATACTTGGAGAAACAGTTGTAAACTGCATTTAACAGGATCCAGAAGTGATAAAATGGACAGGGATTTATATTTTCAGAACAGAAGACCTGAAGTCATTTTTGCAAAAAGCAGAAACTTTAAACTGAGTCTGTGCTTCACCTTCACTGATTCCTGTTTTGCCTGAAGTGATATTATTTTGTGAAAAGAGTGATGTTTGACAAAAAGCTTACCTTTCTTCTGTATGTCATGTACTTAAAGAAGAAGCATTTTAAAATATTAAATCTTTTAAAAGTCTTGACAAATACCTCCTGAGGCAGTTCTGTATTTTGTATTTACAGAACGCTTGTCCTCTCAATACTGGACCACAACTCTGTTGCTTATGGATTTGCATGGTTATTTGTTTTATTGAAACTTGTTCCCGTTTGTCATCAGGCTCTGAGAATTTGTTCTGAAGCCTTTAGAACATCTATTCAGAGCCTATATGTTGATTGTTATGAATCATTGCCTCAGTTAAGGCATGAAAAATTGTCTGTCATTGGTATTTTAATATTATGTCACAACTTCATTATCCTAACCATGTTTGTCGTCTTGATGAGAGTTATAACTTGTTATTTTCAGCATGGTCTCTTTGTGTATTTCCATTTTCTTAAGGAACATATCATTTGGTAGAAAAATAGTGCGTGTCTGAAGTGAAGGCCCAGGTAGTAAAGTGTCTCAAAATCTCATCTTGGAACAACCCGAAAATTCAACTTTTTAGTATATAGGCAGGTTTTTCTTTTCTTTTTTTCGCACAAGGATGAATACAATAGTTTTATTTCTGTCTCTATCTCTATATACACACACATGGACACATGGTTCAAAAACAACTGGTCATGTAGGAATGTCATTTGTGATGGGAGGCCATACTGAGAGCAGGTGACTGCACAATGCCTGCTCTGTGTATTTTGCTTTTACTTTCATCTCTAATGCATTCCCGAAACTTTTGCAATTCATATTGGCTCATTTAGTGCACTAAAAGTTTTTCTGACACACAGAATCCTCTGTTAATTGACATTCTAAGAGTACATCAAAAATTAAAGAGCCATAGGTGTAATATTCTTTATTGCTGTGTTCCTGGAATGCATAAAAGGTAATGAACTGGCAGACACAGCAGCAAAATCTGCAAGTATTTTGTCAAATCGGTTTGTCCTTTACAGTAATATAAGAATAATCATCACGCAGAAAATTCTAAATGCATGGTAATTATTCTAGAATGATTAAGTTCTGAATAAGTTGAGAAATGTAAAACCTTAGAGTAGTCTACTAGAGATCACCAGAAATTGGAGGAAGGAATCTTATTAGCCTGACTAAGAACTGATCTTTAGTTGTATACAATTACTTGTTGAAGGCTAAAAGTGAACCTGTTTCTTCACACTATGAAAATATTCTATCAGTGCATCACTTATTAATTGAATGTCCATATTTTGACAGATTTGATTGAAGTGTTAAGCGACTGTGACTTGACTGTAAACCATGTTATAGGAATAAAGATCAGTGACAATTTATTTCAGTACCCGAAAGAGATGGATCTTTCATATTCAATTCAATTTTGATGTCAAGTTGCTTCTTGGTATTTTAATATTATATATTTTAATATATCTCATGTTCTTTGATTTTAGTCCTGTTTTGCATCTGAAATCATTATCCGAGTTTTGTTAAATTGTTTAATCCAGCATTTATCATTTTATCACATCTTCTGATTTTATAAGTGTGTTATTGTTTTAAGCTTGTGTTCGCTTATAGTTTGTGCTTGTACCTAATTTGATTTTGAAGTATCTGATGCATTTGGAGCATGTAACCTTGAAGGCTTTGTGACAGAAAATCCATTACCACCAATGACTGTCAACAATAAAACACTTCCAGCTAACTTTTTTAGCTTAATTTTTCACTGCTGTTACATTTACAGAAACATCAGTCTTATTTCGACTCGGACAAAAATTACTTCCAAACAGTATTTACTGATTTAGATGAAAATGTTTTTTTAGCAACATCAGTAGACTGTCTGGTATTTAAGACATTAGAAAAACAGTAATCTTTAGCAGTCATATTAAAGTTTATACCTAAAATATTGCCATTTTTTGAAAATTTTCTTTAGGTAATAAGATTATTATAATGACCAGAGTTTAAGACCAATCTGAATTTGCATATTTCTAAAAATTCTGCTACAATGGATAAAACCTTGGAAAATGTATCTTTTTTGAAACCTAAAATTCCTGTTGTTCATACAACACCTCAATTGATGTATTTTGTGAAAACTTCGGACTTGAAGTGTTAAAATTTTTTGTCATATTTTTAAAGCTATTTATGGACATTAAATTTTTTTTGCTTTAATTTGCTCTACTAAATATTTAATTTTTTAACAGTTATTTTTATTTTGTAATTTTTTATAGGTATGATACTCAAGATGAAACAGCAATGTGTTTATCATGTTTGTAAATTGATATAATTTGTAAAACTTTATACAGCTCTTCAAAAATTTTTATATTGCATATCATAGATTTTTATGTGTTTTGCTTTGACTAGATTATTTCATGAAGTAATTTAGATCATATATATATAGCAATATCTGTATATTCTGTTCAAATGTGTTCCATTCTGGAAAAATGAATAGCCATTTTAAAGGAGAATTTTTTAAAAATATGTATACTATATACATCTTACTATTTTCACACACGAAAACATACTTTCAAATCAATGAATCTTTGTGACCGTAAAAAATTAATTTAAACACGAGTTTTTAATATGTATTTATGTTGATCTTGCTGAATAATTTTCATAATATGCAAATTTTTTCTTAATGAATAAATTTGTAAGGAATGACAAATTTACTCCCTCACATATTTATTCAAATAAATGAAAATTTCACATTTATAGACTGATATAAATTGTTTCTTATTATTTTTGTTTATAGTGTTTTTCATTCTAAGAAGCTACAAAAAATTTAATATAAAATATTATGAATTATGTATTTTTAATTTTAATTTTTTCAGTAATGTATATATGTGTAATAAATAGTAATTATTTTGCAATTACAAGTCATCCTTTTCTTCTGTAAAAAATCGCAAAACTGAGCCAAGGTGGTAGCACTAACACATAATAAATAGTAATTATTTTGCAATTACAAGTCATCCTTTTCTTCTGTAAAAAATCGCAAAACTGAGCCAAGGTGGTAGCACTAACACATAAGTATCAAAATTTATGACTGAAATTGAAATGCATAGGTGTGAAAGTTATAAATCTCATCTAAATCCATTGCACATCTTTTTTTGGTTACTATTCATTTTAATATATTAGACTGATTTTATAAAAGAAAAGGTTTATCGGTACTATTCCATTTTGAGGACCGTAAAAAACTGCAGCGAAAACGTATGGGCAAAAGCGCCAAATCTAGCAAACGTGCCCATTTAACAGCACGCCAAATCTAGCGTACGCGCTGATTTCAGATTGCGTAAGTTTATATAGTTCTATATTTCTTAAGACGCCATTGAAATACTAGTTTAATTTTTAAATCCTTTTTTGATTTTTTTTAATATCCTATGGATTTAACAATTTGGGAATTGCCCATGACAAAAAGTCGGCAATAGAATTTTGGGTAAAGTGCAGAATCACCCACTGCTTGACACGTTTTTAAGAATTGCACATACTCCGTATCCATGTGCTCTTCGACCTATTTTCACTTAAAAAAAATTCCAGAATTGCACAAAAATGGCACTGCGCACACCCTTGGCTTTATCTATGTACACATCGACCTATTTTCACTTAAAAAGTAAAAGAAAATTGACAAACATCCAATTGTTCTTACCCTTGTAAAAAGCGGAAACAAATACGTGGGCACTTCTGCACTTTACCGAGAATTTTTTCAAAGAAAAGACATCATTCATTATAGAAAATTATACTTGAACAACCAACGACATGAAATTATGCTTTAGCGATAACTCGGTAGCGAAATAGCGATGCAGGCAATGCCATTCAGTTATGTTTAGCAATTTTTTTATATAAATTAAAATAATGATCTGAAATAGTTATTTACTCGTATGCTTTCCATTCAGTCATGTTTAGCCTTTTTTTATATAAATTATAATAATAAAAAAGTATTATATGAAATTAACCTTTCATCTAAATTAAAACATCAATCTTAGATAGTTATTTACTATTATACTTCCTTTCTTGCGTTAGGGTTGCCGCAATTATTTTTGGCAGCACTGGCATCAACAATAGTTTGGTGATTTTTTACGGCCCTCAAAACCGAATAGTACCGGTTTATCATTATCTTGATTATGGCTCTGTTTTTAGAAGGCTGCTGTAAATCTAGTACTCAAAACTGCAAATAATGTAAATTTCATATCTGTAAAGGCTTGTTTTTATAAAGTTTTTTTTTTTTTTTTTTTTTTTTTTAAGTGATTAAATTTATAAACTTTAAATGGATAGCAGCTTATATAAATAAATAAAAATAAAATTTTTGTTGGACAAGACGAACATTTTATACAGTACTTCATCATACGTTAAAGATCAAAAACCAATTAACACATAATATAATTAAAATATTATTTCATTTGTAAAGGAATTTAATAAATTTTGAGCATTTAAATTAAAATCTTCTGAAATAAACTGATTCACACATCATAACTAAATTAAGAATTTCCTAAATTTGAAGGTGCATGATCTGCATTATCAGCTGGAATTTAAACAGTGTGTCCTATTCTCTTCTGTTTGCCATTGGGTTTGGGTCTATTAGAGTTTGTGCTTCTGGATTCTTTTTCCCCATGGGGGGTGTGTTATGCATTTGAGAATGGACTAGCTTGAATTATACAAAATTAAAACCAGCTACATCTAAGAGATTGCAAGGAATTTTAAGCAGCCATGACTTTTTGTAGGAAACCTTTGTAACAATATCAGTAGACAGATCACGTGAAAAATTTAAAAGAAAAAAAATCCAGTTAATCCGCCCCCAAAAGAGAAATATATGAGAGAGAGAGAGAAATATGGCCCTTAACGAAATATGGTTAGTGGATTAAGTTCATTAAAAAAAGAAACAAATTTGTTGGCATATGGCTTTATTAACAAATATAATTTGTATCCTATCAGTATTCACAGTTGCAAGCTTATAACATCACCATTATGCATCTTGAAGTTAGGAAATGCTAAAATGCTGATACATTGACAATATATAATATAATTGGAGGGGTTAAGGCAACAAGAATAAGTAATTTTTATAAATTTGCAGGACTAGTTTCGAAAGTTTAAATAAATAAACTTCTTCAGCCGTAGAAATGCAAATGATGGAAGAAAAGCCAGTGATAAGATAAGAGAACATAAGGTGAATAAGAATAAGCACCCTCTGTTGATGAAAAATGAAAACAACTATGAAACAGTTTCCTTAAAAGCTGAGGGTAAAGACGAATTAAAATTGGGATTGTTAAATAAAATTTTTATGAATGTGAAATGCTTCTAGAAAATCTTAATTTGCCAACAGAAGATGATTTTCTGAATGAAAGAAAAATGAAAAATGTAATTTTTTTAAACAAGTAGATTTATGTGTTTCTTTTTTCGAACATATGCCTTATGTTCCTTAGCATGAAATTTAGGGCTGTCTTAGTTTAACCAATATAATTTAAACCACACTGGCAATGAATCCTGTGTATACCTCAGGAGTTCATATCTGGAATTGGGTCCTGTAAATTTTATTGACAGAAAAGAAAATGACCCGTATGTTGAATTTTTGTAAAATACATGCAGTTTTTTAACTAATGGATGGAAATAAAGGAATGACAATAGAATTCTTATCTCCTAAAACGAGAGGGTTCTCTGTGATGTGTTGGGATGAGGATTTTTTTAATCCCTTGGTCAATAATATTAGGACCAAGGAGTTTTGATTACAAAGCACCTCTGCAATTCAATGCAATTATCTCCACATCTTTGTTAATAAGAATGAAATAAATAAGATGGGAATTTTCTATAGAAAGTGAAAGAAGCCATTAGGGACTAAAGAACAGAGCTCGATGCGAGATTTCTGGGGACAAGAGAGGAGACTGTTTGCAGTTAACCCTCAATGAATAAGGCAATTAGGCCCCCATTGTGGCACACAAGCAGAAGTCAAAATGAGAGTTTGAGTCAGCAACCGGGCACGTGATTTATATGAACGGTGACAATAACAAACAGAAGGTGTGAAGAGCAATTCACTGGGAACTGGCCTTTGAGTTCATAAGCTAATTAAGAGCCTTGATCAGTGGTCAGGAAGGGGCTCAGAGGTCAGTGACCTAAAATACAAGTGAAGTGAAGTGAAAAGAGAACGGATTGTGGGAGGCTGCCAGTCTGTTGTTCTGCAGATAATGTGCAAGTTTAAGATACTGATGTGAATAAGAAATGAAATTAAGTTCAGGAGTGTGCAAGCATTTAAAATTTAGATTACTAATTAAATTTAAATTCATAGGAGATAGAAGAGTAAAAATTTAGAATTTAAATTGATTTAAGATTTGATGGAATTAATTTAGGTTTTCTGGCATGGTAAAAAAGATGAAAAATTAGGTTGTGCGAGTAAAAATTAAAATTTAAGAAGTAATGTAAAATCAGTGACTGAGATAATGTCTAGGTGAAGGTTGTGATCGATTTCTGTATGCAGCGTAGGAGAAAAAACCAAGAATTGGGCTAGATTAGGTCTTACAGGGAGAAAGAAAATTTAGAAGGTCTGTGAAGTATTGATCATTTAACCTTAGTCAAGCAAAAAAGCCTGTTCTAGCATTTTAGTGAAGATGTTAAAGGATCTATTGATGGCAGCCCTAGATCATATATCAGAGCTTTGAAAAGCTTTTGCCTATAGCAACTGTTTTTGAGTAATTTAGTTTTAAATCACAAGCTGATTTGGTATAGTAAACCTGAAGTGCATGGAAAACGAAGGAATAAAATGAAGCTAACTTCTTTTTAATCAAATGACATGATTTGAAGTGTGGTGGAAAGTAAACAGTAGTAATGCAGTTAGATATGTTGTGTGTAACCATGATGTCGAAAAACAGAAGAGAATTGGATGTCTGGATTTCAAAAGTGAACCTAATGGCAGAAAAATGATCTGACTAAATATGATTCACTTTTGAACTTGAGATTTGGATTTTGGTTGATGAAGTGAGTAAACCATCTACAAAGTTCCCAAAGTGTTACAAATGACTAAAATTATATAAATAGTGTATCTAATTCAGGTTATTTTTTAGATTATTAACTGTGTGTGCCAGGTAATCTAGAAAAAAAAAAAAAGATCTAAGAGTAGAAAAGATGTACTAAGATAGTCTTTTCTATGGGAACGTGGTTTCTATTTTGACCTTTCTCGAGCAAAAGCTGGGTTTGTCAAAAGTCACCTATCAATTCAGAAACAAACATGCCTGGCCTCATTAACCCAGCAATATGTCCCCCGGCTTGTGTTCAGCTGATCATATAATCAAATTTATTTTATTTTACAAATGCCAAACATTATTGCTTAAG